GAACGAATTGGGAACGAATAAGAAAGTGGGCATTGTTACATGAGGAAGTGCTAGTCCCTGGTAGGAAGGTAGTATCAGGTTAGGAAGTAGTGCAGGTTAGCTGGAGATGTTTAGTGGGTAAGCTTTAGCTGGGTGGGACGACCGGCTACTGGATAAGCTAAACCGGCTGACGTTGGCGGGATAACTCCGCGTTGAATTGTCCTTTTTTTTTTTTTTTTTTTTTTTTTTTYYTKKYTATWTTTTTYTYTCAACTTCTATTTGTTTTGCCTTCCACTACCTACTCCTAAGACTATCTAGAGGGGACCCCTGCAGCATACTTTTTCCTCTCTCTGTGAAGGGGAGATTTCATGTTGCCCCTTGCCCCTAATGGTTAGGGTATAGGGTTGGGGCCGCCAGTGGGGGTCTGGCTAACACAAAGACCGAGACCTGCCAGTAGCTGTGCCTCCCTTTCTCATCGTCCCCCACCCTTCATCGAGTAGCAGCAGGGGCTATGGCCAACGCTCTCCCACACACCACACACAACCCACTCGCGCTCACTCACACGCTCACTCACACCCGTGTTGGTCATGGACCACACTAATACCGATCAGGGGTATCCAGAGGACTATCACAGTCCGTTGGCACTAAGTGCGCCGCAGGCAACCATGGGGCTTGAACCCACAACCTCCTGAATGCCACTTGCATGCCTAACCAACTGACCTAGGCCGCTGGATGGGTTAAATTGTGAGGTCCCCGGCCTCTATTGTTTTTGAGTTTAAATATAAGAGTGGTTGTTATGAAAAAAGAAAAAAAAAGAGAAAAAAAGAAAAGAAAAAAGATATGAGAGTAGCGGACCGAGATTAGGGCCAGATCCCACTAACAAAGAGGATTGGAATATGCCTCTGAATCTGGACGAGGTGCAAAAAATTCAGGCGGTAAACACAGATGCAGAAGGGCGTGCGTTTCCCGCCGTCAACAGTCACACATTCGATGGCATGCGGGGGGCGAGGGCTCGCGCGCCAGTCCATGGGCGCGGACGCCTTTCGTAATTTGCCGATCCCGCCAATTCCTTGTCGCTTCCGCACATCCTCGCCTTCCTTTTTCCCCGATCCCGCCACTTCAAGGTACCGCACACGCTGTTGTTAGAGCTGCCGTGCTTCGGGAGCCCGGTGATGGTGGTGGTAGAGGCCGGAAAGTCAGTGGCGGTGATGGTGATGGTAGTGGAACGAGGCCCATTGTGACAGTGAGCTCTTTTTTTTTTTGGGAAAAGCAATGAGAGTGAGTTGCAGCTCCCCGCCGAATCCCCCTTGGTAAGTTTTTTTTGTTTTTTGTTGTCCCTTTTTTTTTCCCCCTTTCCTGGGGGGAAAAAATCACCGACATTAAATTAAATACTGAGGAAACGAAGCCAAAAAGAAAAAGAAGCGAAAAGGTCGCACTAGCTTCAACAGCTCGTCTTTGTCCGTCCACGAATTATTTGTCGCCGCCTCCTGTTCCTCCTCTGCTTGCAGCAGTCACCCCATAGGTAAGCTCGACCTTCGTCTTCACTTTCTCTCTTCTATCCCTGTCGTCCTCCTCGTCCTCCCCCTCCTCCTCCGTGTTTGTTACCGTCCTGCTCTCCTCCACGGTCTGTCGTCCCCTTCCTCCTCCTCCTCCTCCGCGCCCGGCCCAACTCTTGCAATTTTGTCAGGTCCTTCTCCTTTATGATCTGGTCATGGCTGTACAGAATCACGTGTGGGCTCAAGGGAGCATGATAAAGGAAGGGCCTCGCGGCACCGCTTCGTACGTGTTCATTCTTTGGGGGAAATAATGTCATGGATCTGAAGATGGAGGATCACCAGGAGTGAGGATAATGTAATTGTATGGGGCTTGCGGTGAGCGAAGAGAACAGCAGGGGCCGGGTAGGGGAGAAGTTGGAGGGGGGGGTGAAGGACACGCACCAGACGCAAACCAAACAGAAGTCAATCGAAGCCTCGGAAGGACGGGAAAGAATCGCAGAGGGTTGTTGGCATGGACATCCGCTGTCTTATATTCTTTCATGCTTGAACCTTGGGCTCTGTCAAGAGGGTGTGTTCTGAGTGACAACGACCTTCTAAGCTGAAGGTCACAGGTTCAAATCCTGCTAAATTCTTCTTGAATTCAGAAGTTGAAGGTCATACCTTCTGCATGCTTGATGAACCTTGGGCGGTGTCAAGAGGATGCAACATTCTCACCACCATACGCAGGATAACCATGTCTGTCGTTGGACAGGCGAGGGCGCGCGTTCTGAGCAAAAACAACCTTCCAAGCTGAAGGCCACAGGTCCAAATCCTGTAGGATGCTGATTTCTTCTTGAACTGAAAGGTTCAACGAGTGCTCATCGAACGACACAGTTCAAAGGTGCTTGTTGTTCCTTGATTTGATTTGTGAGCTTTGTCTTCCTTCACTAATGGGGATACTCACGCTGGGAGTTTGCCGAATGTATCTGACTGCTTTTTACTGTCGCGCCTCCGAGTTGAAAAAGTCCGGGTGATCTACCGTAAACCACGGATGTGCGCCGATTGTGTTAGGGCGAGTTCCGGCAGCAGAGTGGCCTGTCTGACATGACGAGCCGCCGATTTGTCCAGCAATCCACTCCTGAGCCTTTTCGCTTGCTTTGCATGCATGTCGTCTTTCGGGTATTTGGGAAGATGAGGAGATTACCGTCTCTTCCCGCGAATAGAATGTACAGATAATGATCGCTGTTTCTAGAGTGAAAGTTGCCCAAAATACAGCTATAATCACCGTACATTCGATTCGGGGAGAACAAATAGTACAGCACAGCACAGCACAGCACAGCACAGGAAGGTATGTTTATGTTCGTCAGCAGGTAAAGTCCTTGGTGTGAATTCTTCCTAAGGGATGGGTTCAAGTCTTGGTGTGAGTTCTCTTTTCTAGGGATGCAAACAACCCCAATGCTGGTGTTCGAAGGTGCTGCAAATAACTGCTAGTTCTTGGCTTGTCTCAGGAGGGACATTAGAGAGCAGATATCACCAGTTTGCTGAACTGCCAGCACTTGTGGACGAGCTCGCAAGTAGGGGATCGTTGATCGCTAGCCTTTTGGATTATGAACGCGATTGCGACATCTCCCTACCGGCTGCTTGCCCTGGCTCCCTACCTTTTGGTTTCCATAGCTTCTTGTCATTATCCACAACATTAACCTTATGGCTTTTTCTATGGGCATGCACTACCAATAGTACTCGCCAAAGCTCAGAGTGGACCAAAAATAAGCCATGGACTTGGATCAGCTAAATGATAAGGATGCTTTTGAGAACTCATACTCATTGCTTCGCTTCTTAGGTATGCTGGTGAATGTCTTCCTATTACTATTATAATGGTGCTACGGGCATCCATGCATGTGGAATTCAGCCCTGCAGTGCCTCTTTCTTCGGAGTTGCAGCATAAAAGGGCCCTGCAGTGCCTCTCTTATCGGCTCCCATCTTGCCAACACCCCTTGTTGCTGCAAGAAGTAATGGCCGTGTCGAGAACGGTGTCACTAGTGTCGGTGATGATGCGACCGCATGATCTTGGTGCGAGTCTCCCACTCCCAGAAAGTCTATACACTGGTCAGCTCACTTTGCGTTCGTCGCTGTGGTAGATATGGGGGCAGCGTTCCGTGGCGAGAGCTTTCTGAAAGCTCTCTCACATGGTCACCAGCATCCAGTTGAAGGCGCCTTTGCGAATGGTCGGACGGTGAAGGGTGAGGTCCAGGTTTTCTTTTTCTCCGCTTTATCTCCCTGGTGCTTTTTGTCTTTTTACAAAGCTTTTACACCAAAATTCGCCTGGCCAAAAGAAAAGAAAAGAAAAGAAAAGAAGGACGACATAGGAGAAAATTTCGGTAGGGAAGATATGGGCCGAGCTCCCGATTACCTGGATTTGTCACTTATGGCCGTAGGTTTGCCCCATCTGACGGTAACCATGCTGCATTTCGGTAGGGAAGATATGGGGCGAAGAATGCAGGAACGTGTTACCTCGCCCCTGGATGACCGGGAAGGACATGACGAGGACAGGCGGACTAGGAGTCACGACGCAGAGGCAGAAGTGCGAGTGGAGGTGAAAAAGGGGAGGATCCGATGATGAGCGAGGCAAGTAGTTAGTTATTGATTTCGAGGTGGTGCTGGAAGAGTGGGACGAGGGAGGAAAAAAGGGTTTTACCGATCTCGTCGAGATATGAGCGGGGATAACAAATCGTTTTGCGAAGCATATCGATGAAATACCTCCAACGTGTGTATGCGAGAGGTCCACTGGTCCCGCTTCCTCCTCCTCGTTCTTTTCTTCTTCGTCTCGCATACTAGAACCAGATAAAACTCGGGTTGTGCAGTGTGTTTAAGCAGTGCGTGTGTGAAAGGAACTTGGTCATTGCTTGTGACTACTCTTCTTCGTGTTCTTCCTCTTCTTCCTCTTCTTCCTCTTCTTCCTCTTCTTGTTCTTGTCTTTCTTGTCCTTTTTCCGAAGGACTGGTTGTGTGTGTGTGTGTGTGTGTGTGTGTGTGTGTGTGTGTGTGTGAGAGAGAGAGAGAGAGAGAGAGAGAGAGAGAGAGAGAGAGAGAGAGACCCCACAAACGAGACCTGGAGCGCACCTGGTTGAAACGCTTTGAGGACATGTGCGCGTGCTGGGAATTGTACATGCGGAGTTCAGTGCTACTTCATGAGGAGCTTGTGCCATAGCAGCCTTGGCCACTGCTTGTCACTCTTCTTCTCCTCCTCTTCCTCCTCCTCTCCTCCCCCATCCCTACCCCCACCCCGCGTTCTCGTCTTTCTTCGTTTCTACTGAGAACGGTGCATGCGGAGTTGTCTTGCTCTTTTCTGTTGAAGCATGTGCGAGGAGCAGTTTATGGCCACTGTTTTCACTATTATTGTTCTCCGTCTTCTCCTTCTTTTTCTTCTGCTTCATCACAATTTTAAACCTTAACAGGTAACACGACAATGATCGAGATAAATTACTCAGTTAGAAGCAGAAAGAACGTGTTCGGCTTGATGTGGATGGCTAACGGACGCTAACGAACGTGCCTTTCTGTGGCTTTTGATGCGGAACGCTGGTCGCAACCCAATCCAGCTGCGCAGGTGATGACTATGGTTACTAGGACGCGATCGAGTGAGGAAGACAGACGTCTACAGGGATCCAATCTCTGGCTGACTCCAGCGAAGCTGACAAGGAATTGTTCGTCCCCTTCTGGCGGGGGCCACCACGATCTGTAATGGCGGGTCTGTGGAGACTAGCAAAAAGCACTTCTTTGGGCCATAACGGTGCTCGTCGTGTCATTGCTTGTGTTTCTGAGTTAAGGCTTGAGATGGCGAAGCGAACTAAATCGTTCAACTGCGATGTGCAGTTCTTTCTGTTTCTTTGCACAATTGTAGGATTCTTGGTGATCTGTGACGGACTTGTGCTATTTGATGTGCAATCCGATCGGCAATCCGGTCCACGTTCAGATTCACAATTCCATCCCCTGTCTTATCCACAATCCGATCCACAATCCGGACCCGAATCCGACCCGCGATTAGATCCACAATCCGAACCTGAGTCCGATCCACAATCCGGTCCACCTGCGTATCCACAATCGGGTTCAACCCCCCCCGGCCAAACCTACTCCTTAACCGTGGGATTGAGGGGAGATGTCAGTAATGTCGTCGTTGACCGAAGATCGAAGGGTCTCGAGACGAGAGAGGGATGTCAACTCCGCAGTAGCAGTAGGAGTCGTAGGAGTAATTGTTGTCAGAGTGGATGTGTAGGGAGAAAAAGTGGTGTAGGTGGTGATAAGGGTGGTAGTCCATGCCGGGAGCTCGTTAAGCCGTCATCGTTATCATCGTCTGACGCATCAGGCACGCGAATGGTCGGTTTTTTGGATCAAGCAAATGCTGTCATTGAGCTGAGAGGGGAATCTAACCGCTTGGCAGAGCGGTCTGGCGTTGGTGTTCGTCGGTATGCATTGTCAAGAGAATCTGGATCCCGAATTCGGAGACTTCAGAGCTTTGACAAGGACGCACTACTTAGACACACATCCAGTGGATGGGGCTCATCAGAGACGGATGCCACGCAGTTCTCTGATGATGAGCGAGTGATCAGCAAGGACACGTTAGATGCTGGAGAAGCGGAGTCAGAGTCGATCTCGCAGTTCCCCACATCGTGGATTTCCCGACTATCTCCCCGAGCAAGACCTGGTTTGTTCTCTCAAGTAAATGCAGAAGGAGAGGGAGCAGGAGAAGTAGGAGAGAGAATACGTTCGTCGTTTACTGAAGGAGACGAAGGTCGGTATCTGGGAGAAGATTTGAGGCAAGAGTCGGTGCCACCTCAGCAGTACAAGAAATGTATCGGGGAACAAAGATTCGCTGTGAGCATTACTAGCAATTGGAACTCGTGGAACTTTCCCCAAGATTTCCCGCCGGATGATGTTGCTCGCTTCTCGCCTCTTGTCGGGATATCGCACGGAGAAGAGTTCACACTATGGGAGGATGGCCAGATGGTGTCCCCCATCATGCAGGTGAGAAGTTAACATTCCCTCAATCACTCATCGCCTTCTCTTTCTCTTTCTCTCTTTCTCTCTCTCTCTCGCTGTCTTTCTTGTTTCTTAAGTTCACACTACGGAACGATGGACAGGTATCGTACCCCATTATACAGGTGAGAGGTTGACCTTTCCTGAGTCAATCATCGCCGTTTCTCTCTCTCTCTCCTCCTTCTGTTACGTCTCTCTCTCTCTCTCTCTTGTTACGTATCTCTCTCTCTCTCCGTCTTTGCGTCGATGTTGTTTTCTCAGAGTCGATCTCGCAGTTTCCTACATCTCGGGGCCACATCTTGTTACCACTCTTTTTCTTGTCGTCCTCTTACGCCCTCTTCCTTGTTTCTCCTTCTTCTCTCTCTGTCGCGGTTTTTATATTCGGTGTTTGTCTCTAGTTACCAAGGCTCTCTTTCCTCCTCTCTTCCTCCTATCGTTCCTCTCGTTGCTCTCGCTTCTTTCTTTCTTTGCTAGTGGCCTGATGGCCCTATTCTTGTATCAGATCGTCCTTATCATGTGAATGCGAAGTGTGTAAAAACTGTAAACTGGATAAGATCGGATCGCTTCGTTCGTTAAAATCCGCAAGCAAAACGACACGAAATCTGCCGTTTCGATGGTTTGTCTTTTCTGATTTTGTGTTTGGAAGGGTGGTTAACAGGACCCTCTACCACGACCCCTTTGCATGGTTGTATCTCACTTTGATTGTGTGTGCAATGGGGGTGTACTTGATCCCAACCTTGAACAGGACCGGATGGAACTGTGCTTGCTAAAGTTTGAACCACCACTGTCTCTGTGTTTTGGGGGTGCACTTGGTCCTAACCTTGAACCGGGACCAGACGGAACTGTGTGCTTGGTGTAACGTTCGCCTTTAGTTTTATTAAATTAAACCACCGCTGCTTTTACGACCCCTCATCACCGGGAGGATCGTCCTTTTTGGATCTGTTGGATTAATGATCCGACGGCCAGAGATCGATCTTTTGTCTGCAGGCGTTGGCTCGATTTTTCCTTTTTTTAAAAGGGGATAGTGGTGGGTTTAATCACCATTCGAGATGGATCCTTAGCAGTCTATGTGGGGGTCAACATCTTTTACCGTATGGCATGTTCACATTACAAGTTTTTTACACGTATTTGACCATTATTTCGGCGAGATCAGCCGAGAAAGTGCTAGGGTGACGCAGTACATGCTTTAATGAGTCTGCCGAAGTCTCTAGTTACAAAGAAAGAAAATCTCAGCAAATCAAGTTCACTACCTCTGGGGTCGTGCCCCAGCGCCTGTAATGTTCGCCGAGCTGGCATGAACCTGATCCACTCTGGATCACGTGCATTATGATTGACCTTTTCTTATATCTGCCGTGGATTTCAGGATCGGTCGATCTATCCTCCTTTTGTTTAATGTTTTCTCTCTTCTTTCGTTTTGCTTTCCCAAATAGAATGTTCATAGTAATGTAACTGAACTGGATAAGTCCAGCGTGTTCTTGATTTTGGGCAAACCTGACATGACATGTTCTAGATCGGGTTGGGCAAATCCTACGTGTGCTACATTCATCGGGGCTGGGCAAGCCGAGATGTTTGGATTGAGATTGAATCCCATATGCTATTGATTGGGTTGGGCAAACCTAGCTGCTTATGATTGCTTTGGGCTAATCCGACTTATTCTAGATAGATTAGCATGGCCCCTGCGCAAGGATTACACGCATGCAAAGAGAAGATTAGCATGGCCCCTGCGCAAGGATTACACGCATAAATCGAGAAATGGGAAAATCCGACTTGTTCTGGTCTGCTCTCGAGATGGCGACTTAGCACGGTTATAAAGGATTCAGCTGATGAGAGAAGTGGGTAATGCTCACATGATTGGATTGCTTCTTGACTGAACGTTGAGGTGTCAACCCGCCAAACCTTTTTGCGGACCACCAATTGGTCAGAGTTTAGATGAGATCTAAACAGTCCCCAGCCCATGTTGAGTAACAAAAGTACCCACTTGTTAAATACGATCTTTTTCCAAAAAAAGAGAAAAAAAAAACCCTCATTCATTCATCCATCTCACCATTAAAAAACAGGAGGATAAAAAACAAGAGGATGTCTAGTTCTTTTCCGTTATAATGAGCTCTTTTCCCCGTTATTAGTCATCATCATAACGGAACGGACTCGAGGATAGCAAACTAAAAGAATGCTCTTCTCTCCTCGTTCGTCCAGCTCATGTGCAACTCGTTCTTCGTCTACCTTCCATGTGAAGAATAAGGAAGGTCGGGAGGCAAACGGATCCCGACGTTAATCGCCCGATAGAGGTTGCGACAGCAGGTGTAAGGGTTGCCGAAACGAAAGCAGGCCCTTTGGCTCAACCGCGAGTGTCTTTCACTCCTCTGTGTGCGGTCACCTCTCTTCCCCGTAGACAAAAATGCGAGGAATGAGTCGAGTCGTAAGAGAAAAAAAGTCTTTACGTAAGTCCTTAGGAGGAAAAATAAGAGGTGCAAAGTAAGGATGTGCAAAAAAAAGGAGTGGAAGAAAGGACGTGCAAGTGCTCGTCGTGGTCAGCGGTCTGTTCTCCATCTGCCGCGCAATGTTTGCATTTCTATCTAGATGTCATCGTCATTGACTGGCGTGGGTTCTTTCTCCACCATCTCCACCATCTCCTCCTCACCCTACTCCCTTCTCCTCCTCCTCCATCCTTCTCCTCTCCTCTGTCATCGTCATCGACTGGGGTTGCTTCTTTCTTCACTACCACTGCCACCACGATCTCTTCCTTTGCCTCCTCCTCCTCCTCCTCCTCCTCCTCTGTCATCGTCATCAACTGGCGTGGATGCTTCTACATCACCACCATAAACCACCATCTCATCGTCGTTGTTGTCCTCCTTGGCTTCGTTTGGCCTGACATCATTGAAAAGAATAAGAAGGTGGTGTATTTGCTCGAAGGCTCTCTAATTCTATTTGGTCTAAACTATTTCCATATATTGCAAAGGTCTTGTTATCCCAACTAAAACCCGTAATACAGTATTAGTCTATAAAAAAAATCATTTTACTTCTAAGGGCATATTCACTCTTCGACTCTCCAGGCAGGATGTATCGTACTGCTATAATGACCACACTCGCTCTTAAGTCCTCGCGTGTGAGTATGTCCTAGCAGAAACTGGAAGGACAGGTCCGATCGGATTTTGGCAGATCATCGACGGAGGAAAAAAAGTCTATGATTGATCAATGGAGAAGGATTGCCATGGTGTGAGGTAGCAGCTCACCAAAGGCCGTCCATTTAGGTGCATGGCCGTGCTGGCTGGACGAATGGATAGGAGATCAGAGCGTCAGGGTGGATGAGAGCCTGGGCACATACATACCATATAGCGGCCACATACAGCATGGAAGCATGTATGAATGTGAATAGGCAGAAATATATGTCCTTTTGTCCGCGGCCTACGGTTGACAGTCCTACGTATTCTTGGCCCGCTGAAACAGCGGCCGACATTCTGAATAGCCATGCACTTTGGAACAATCATTGGAATTATCCTCATGCTGACACATTGCGTATCTTTATTGCGCTCTTAAGGCCCATAAGTCTCCTCCCGCACTCCGTACTATTCTTGGTATCACTGCCACAGACACAC